GGTTGGGAGACAGCGAGGGTGGTGGTGGTGGTGGTTGGGAGACAGCGAGGGTGGTGGTGGTGGTGGTGGTTGGGAGACAGCGAGGGTGGTGGTGGTGGTGGTTGGGAGACAGCGAGGAGCAGGGTGATGGTGGTGGTGGTGGTTGGGAGACAGCGAGGGTGGTGGTGGTGGTGGTGGTGGGGAGACAGCGCGGGTGGTGGTGGTGGTGGTGGTTGGGAGACAGCGAGGGTGGTGGTGGTGGTGGTTGGGAGACAGCGAGGGTGGTGGTGGTGGTGGTGGTTGGGAGACAGCGAGGGTGGTGGTGGTGGTGGTGGTTGGGAGACAGCGAGGGTGGTGGTGGTGGTGGTTGGAAGACAGCGAGGGTGGTGGTGGTGGTGGTTGGGAGACAGCGAGGGTGGTGGTGGTGGTGGTTGGGAGACAGCGAGGAGCAGGGTGATGGTGGTGGTGGTGGTTGGGAGACAGCGAGGGTGGTGGTGGTGGTGGTGGTTGGGAGACAGCGAGGGTGGTGGTGGTGGTGGTGGTGGTTGGGAGACAGCGAGGGTGGTGGTGGTGGTGATGGTTGGGAGACAGCGAGGGTGGTGGTGGTGGTTGGGAGACAGCGAGGGTGGTGGTGGTGGTGGTGGTGGTTGGGAGACAGCGAGGGTGGTGGTGGTGGTGGTGGTTGGGAGACAGCGAGGGTGGTGGTGGTGGTGGTTGGGAGACAGCGAGGGTGGTGGTGGTGGTGGTGGTTGGGAGACAGCGAGGGTGGTGGTGGTGGTGGTTGGGAGACAGCGAGGAGCAGGGTGATGGTGGTGGTGGTGGTGGTTGGGAGACAGTGAGGGTGGTGGTGGTGGTGGTGGTTGGGAGACAGCGAGGGTGGTGGTGGTGGTGGTGGTTGGGAGACAGCGAGGGTGGTGGTGGTGGTGGTTGGGAGACAGCGAGGGTGATGGTGGTGGTGGTGGTTGGGAGACAGCGAGGGTGGTGGTGGTGGTGGTTGGGAGACAGCGAGGGTGGTGGTGGTGGTGGTGGTTGGGAGACAGCGAGGGTGGTGGTGGTGGTGGTTGGGAGACAGCGAGGGGGGTGGTGGTGGTGGTGGTGGTTGGGAGACAGCGAGGGTGGTGGTGGTGGTGGTTGGGAGACAGCGAGGGTGGTGGTGGTGGTGGTGGTTGGGAGACAGCGAGGGTGGTGGTGGTGGTGGTTGGGAGACAGCGAGGGTGGTGGTGGTGGTGGTGGTGGTTGGGAGACAGCGAGGGTGGTGGTGGTGGTGGTTGGGAGACAGCGAGGGTGGTGGTGGTGGTGGTGGTGGTTGGGAGACAGCGAGGGTGGTGGTGGTGGTGGTGGTTGGGAGACAGCGAGGGTGGTGGTGGTGGTGGTTGGGAGACAGCGAGGTGGAGGGTGGTGGTGGTGGTTGGGAGACAGCGAGGGTGGTGGTGGTGGTGGTGGTTGGGAGACAGCGAGGGTGGTGGTGGTGGTGGTTGGAAGACAGCGAGGGTGGTGGTGGTGGTGGTTGGGAGACAGCGAGGGTGGTGGTGGTGGTGGTTGGGAGACAGCGAGGGTGGTGGTGGTGGTGGTGGTGGTTGGGAGACAGCGAGGGTGGTGGTGGTGGTGGTTGGGAGACAGCGAGGGTGGTGGTGGTGGTGGTGGTTGGGAGACAGCGAGGGTGGTGGTGGTACGTGCTGAGTGAGCAGCAGCAGCAGCAGCAGGCGCCCTACCACCGATCCCACGGGGGGGGGGGGGGGTTTGCTGAGCCCAACGCGCCCGGGAATCGCGGCTGAGAAAGATCACGGCTGGTCCCACCGCGTGCTGCTTTTGTTAATTACGTTTTGGTAATTACGTCGTGGTTGTTGTTGTTGTTGTTGTGCGGTTTTTTTATAATTAGACTTGTAAAGTTGCGATTTTAAGTCTTTCTTAGTGGGGGGGGGGGGGGGGGGGGGGGGGGGGGGGGGGGGTGGGGCCGGGTGGGGGGGAGCATGGGGGAATTCCACTCGGCACCATCCATCGCTCCTCGGTGGCGGCTGATATAAAAAAAACATCTGTGGTTGTCTTGTCCTTGAGACAGAGACACCACGCTGGGGGCTCGCGCACCAAGCTGACGCCCGCTTGCGAAGGCGCCCGTTGCACGTGCCCCCCCATATTGCACGTGCCCCCCCCCTCCCCATTGCAGAGTCCCATCGAGCCGCTCCACGCTGGAGGGAGCTTTCGTTTGTCTCGAAATCTGGAGGCCCGGGGATCTGAACCCAGGATTTCGGCGATGCAGGAGGTCGTGGGATCGATCCCAACCCTGACGCCTGCTGCTGCTGTATATTTGGAGTTTGCGTGTCTCTCTCTCATCATCATCATCACGGTGGCTAGGAGATGTTAACTACCTCGCCTGGTACGCAGGAGGTCGTGGTTTCGATCCCGACCCTGACGATGCCTGCTGCTGTATATTTAGAGTTTGCGTGTCTCTCTCTCATCATCATCATCACGGTGGCTAGGAGATGTTAACTAACTCGCCTGGTACGCAGGAGGTCGTGGGTTCGATCCTGACCCTGGCGATGCCTGCTGCTGTGTATTTAGAGTTTGCGTGTATCTCTCTCTCTCATCATCATCGTCATCACGGTGGCTAGGAGATGTTAACTACCTCGCCTGGTCTACAGGAGGTCGTGGGTTCGATCCCGACCCTGACGATGCCTGCTGCTGTATATTTAGAGTTTGCGTGTGTCTCTCTCTCTCTCTCTCTCTTGCCCCGGGGGTCGCGTGGATTTTTTTCTCCGGCTCCTCCGGTCTCGTCCCTGTCAATGTTTCCTGCACGCCGGCAAGGCCACGAGCTTCCACCGAGAGTCGTCACTCGCTGGCTTCACGGGCAAAAAGCGAAATAGTTTTTAGTTTTGTTCGGGGAGTTGTGATGGTCACGCACCGGTGGCTTAAACCTAGCGCCCGGCGTCAACGGATTGAGCGCCCCCACCACCCCACCACCCGCTTGAGCGGCAACGCGAGCTGACGTTTGCGGACGAGTTAGCGAGTTGTACCCCCCACGCGGTGACGCAAAAACAGAGCGGCAAACGCACCGCTACCACCGTCACCACCACCGTCACCACCACCGTCACCACCGTCACCACTACCACCACCGCCACCGTCACCACCGCCGTCACCACCGCTACCACTGCCGTCACCACCGCTACCACCGCCACCACCACCGCTACCACCGCTATCACCGCTACCACCGTCACCACCGCTACCACCGCTACCACTGCCGTCACCACCACCGCGACCACCACCACCACCGCTACCACCGCCGTCACCACCGTCACCACCACCACCACCGCTACCACCGCCGTCACCACCACCACCGTCACCACCACCACCGTCACCACCACCACCACCGTCACCACCGCTACCACCGTCACCACCACCACCGTCACCATCACCAACACCACCACCGTCACCACCACTACCACCGTCACCACCACCGTCACCACCGCTACCACCGTCACCACCACCACCGTCACCATCACCAACACCACCACCGTCACCACCACTACCACCGTCACCACCACCGTCACCACCGCCACCACCGTCACCACCACCACCATCACCACCGCCACCACCACCACCGCCGCCACCACCGCTACCACTGCCGTCACCACCATCACCACCGCTACCACCGTCACCACTGCTACCACCGCCACTATCGTCACCATCACCACCGCTACCACCGCCGTCACCACCACCGTCACCACCGCTACCACAGCCGTCACCACCACCGTCACCACCGCTACCACCGCCTTCTCTCTCCGCCCCTACTGCCGAGGCCTACTATTTAACCTCGTGCCACGGCAGATATCTCGCCTACTGCAGCAGTTTTTATTCTTGCTGTGGTTGTCACACCTGATGACGATTGCTCGCGTTGCGATCAGAACGTCGTCATCCGTTATTGTTCAACCCACGTGACTTTAACCGAAAGAACCAAAGAGTATGGATTCCTTCAGTCACGAAAGCTTCAAATCAAGATTATTATACACTACATTATACACTACACTATACACTACACTACTATACACTACACTATACACTACACTACTATACACTACACTATACACTACACTACTATACACTACACTATACACTACACTACTATACACTACACTATACACTACACTATACACTACACTATACACTGCTATACACTACACTATACACTACGCTATACACTACACTATACACTACACTATACACTACTATACACTACACTATACACTACTATACACTACACTATACACTACTATACACTACATTATCCACTACACTATACACTACACTATACACTACTATACACTATACACTACTATACACTACACTATACACTGCAGAGCCCTGTGGGGGTAGGTGCCGTGCCGCTTTGGGTCATGTGTAGTGAGGGTGGCGAGGGTGGTGTGCGTGGCGAGGGTGGTGTGCGTGGCGAGGGTGGTGAGGGTGGTGAGGGTGATGAGGGTGGTGAGGGTGGTGAGGGTGGCGAGGGTGGTGTGCGTGGCGAGGGTGGTGAGGGTGGTGAGGGTGGTGAGGGTGATGAGGGTGGTGAGGGTGGCGAGGGTGGTGTGCGTGGCGAGGGTGGTGAGGGTGGTGAGGGTGGTGAGGGTGATGAGGGTGGTGAGGGTGGTGAGGGTGGCGAGGGTGGTGTGCGTGGCGAGGGTGGTGAGGGTGGTGAGGGTGGTGAGGGTGATGAGGGTGGTGAGGGTGGCGAGGGTGGTGTGCGTGGCATGTGTGGTGAGGGTGGTGTGCGTGGCGAGGGTGGTGTGCGTGGTGAGGGTGGTGAGGGTGGTGAGTGTGGCAAGGGTGGTGTGCGTGGCGAGGGTGGTGTGCGTGGTGAGGGTGGCGAGGGTGGCGAGGGTGGTGAGGGTGGTGAGTGTGGCAAGGGTGGTGTGCGTGGCGAGGGTGGTGAGGGTGGTGTGCGTGGCGAGGGTGGTGTGCGTGGTGAGGGTGGCGAGGGTGGCGAGGGTGGCGTGTGCGTGACCCCGCGCCGTGTCTCCGCCTGCCTGCAGTATTACCACGCCGTGGTGCACGACATGCATCCCACCCAGCCCACGGCCGTGGTCATGTTCGCCGACTACGGCAACTACGAGGAGGTGCTCATCAAGAACATCAAGCCACTGCCCACGGGGGCCCAGGTGAGCTCCCCCCACACCACACCCCCGCCACCACCTGTACAGAGATACCACCTGTACAGAGACACCACCTGTACAGAGATACCACCTGTACAGAGACACCACCTGTACAGAGATACCACCTGTACAGAGATACCACCTGTACAGAGACACCACCTGTACAGAGACACCACCTGTACAGAGATACCACCTGTACAGAGACACCACCTGTACAGAGACACCGCCTGTACAGAGATACCACCTGTACAGAGACACCACCTGTACAGAGACACTACCTGTAGAGAGATACCACCTGTACAGAGACACCACCTGTACAGAGACACCACCTGTACAGAGACACCACCTGTACAGAGACACCACCTGTACAGAGATACCACCTGTACAGAGACACCACCTGTAGAGAGATACCACCTGTACAGAGACACCACCTGTACAGAGACACCACCTGTACAGAGACACCACCTGTACAGAGACACCACCTGTACAGAGACACCACCTGTACAGAGATACCACCTGTACAGAGACACCACCTGTAGAGAGATACCACCTGTACAGAGACACCACCTGTACAGAGACACCACCTGTACAGAGACATCACCTGTAGAGAGATACCACTTGTACAGAGATACCACCTGTAGAGAGATACCACCTGTACAGAGACACCACCTGTACAGAGACACCACCTGTACAGAGACACCACCTGTACAGAGATACCACCTGTACAGAGACACCACCTGTACAGAGATACCACCTGTACAGAGACACCACCTGTACAGAGACACCACCTGTACAGAGACACCACCTGTACAGAGACACCACCTGTACAGAGATACCACCTGTACAGAGACACCACCTGTACAGAGACACCACCTGTACAGAGACACCACCTGTACAGAGATACCACCTGTACAGAGACACCACCTGTGCAGAGACACCACCTGTACAGAGATACCACCTGTACAGAGATACCACCTGTACAGAGATACCACCTGTACAGAGATACCACCTGTACAGAGACACCACCTGTACAGAGACACCACCTGTACAGAGATACCACCTGTACAGAGACACCACCTGTACAGAGACACCACCTGTACAGAGATACCACCTGTACAGAGACACCACCTGTAGAGAGATACCACCTGTAGAGAGATACCACCTGTACAGAGACACCACCTGTACAGAGACACCACCTGTACAGAGACACCACCTGTAGAGAGATACCACCTGTACAGAGACACCACCTGTACAGAGACACCACCTGTAGAGAGATACCACTTGTACAGAGACACCACCTGTACAGAGACACCACCTGTACAGAGACACCACCTGTACAGAGATACCACCTGTACAGAGACACCACCTGTACAGAGACACCACCTGTAGAGAGATACCACCTGTAGAGAGATACCACCTGTACAGAGATACCACCTGTACAGAGACACCACCTGTACAGAGATACCACTTGTACAGAGACACCACCTGTACAGAGACACCACCTGTAGAGAGATACCACCTGTACAGAGACACCACCTGTACAGAGACACCGCCTGTACAGAGATACCACCTGTACAGAGACACCACCTGTACAGAGACACTACCTGTACAGAGACACCACCTGTACAGAGACACCACCTGTACAGAGACACCACCTGTACAGAGACACCACCTGTACAGAGACACCACCTGTACAGAGACACCACCTGTACAGAGACACCACCTGTACAGAGATACCACCTGTACAGAGACACCACCTGTACAGAGACACCACCTGTACAGAGACACCACCTGTACAGAGACCCCACCTGTAGAGAGATACCACCTGTACAGAGACTCCACCTATACAGAGATACCAGGAAGGAGTTTTTCAGCAAGTGGCAGAAGTCTGTTTAGTAGGATTCTTGCCAGTACAGTAAAACCTTGGATCGTGAGCATAATGCGTTCCGGAAACGTGTTTGTAATCCAAAGCACTCATACATCAAAGCACTCGTATATCAGTTGTGATCACGTGACGCTCGGCAGTACAAAGCGTGTACACGTAAACTGCTCGTATTGCAAGACCCTCGCTCGTTAATCAAATTAATATTTATTTAACAATTTTTGCTCGTCTTGCGAAACACTCGCAGACCAAGTTACTCGCAATCCAAGGTCTTCCAGTATTTTTCCAGCAGTGCCCAAGAAGAGGAGTTCAATCTGCAGTCGGTCGCAGTCTGCCTCGTCACCGTCTTTTGAAGACGGCGACAATGATGGCATCTTTCGGTTCGTTTGGGAAGGTCTTCGTCATCCCAGATCCGGGCCGTGAGGGAGTGCGCGCTTATTCCAGTAGGAGTCGTCCTCCGTGTTTGTAGATCTCAACAGGAATCTGGTCTAGTCCCCACTTAGGTAGGTGTGTTCTATTTCATATGCTTGACAGCTTTAGCCTCTTCAAGCATCGTTGGTTCTCCAGCTAAATCCTCAGTGGTGGAGCGTTGCGGAATCTCACTGGATATTTAAGCGTCTACAACGGCGTCGCAGTCGAACAGAGCGCTGAAGTGTCCCTGCCAGCCGGAGATGATTGCATTTTTGTCTTTGAAGATTTCTGTCCCGTCTTTAGACCGGAGCGGTGCGAGGCACCTGTTTTTGACGGTCCGTATCAGACTTTGGTTGTTTAAAAAAAAAATGTTAATGCACGTGGGTTATTGGACATCTGCAAGATGTTGTAATTCTTCTGCTTCGTTTTTGAATCAGTTGTTCTTCAGTTTCCGTGTTTTTGTTTGTACTTCCGATTTGGCCTCCTTATACGATTGTGGGTTTTTTTTTTCCTGCCTGGACTGTTTGTGTTGTTGCCAGGCGATGAATGCTTTCCGCTTCTCGTCGATGAGGCCTGTGATTTCCAGGTCGTTGTCATCAAACCAGTCGAAAGTTTTTTTTGTTTCCTTCCTGTGAAGCCAAACAGTGTTTTCACGGCCGGTTTTCACTGCCATCTTCAGTTGTGTCCACGACTCGTGGACATTCCCTGAAGCCTGCTTCGGTGAGTCTTTGAGCTAGTTGTTATTTCAGCCGGGGCTGTGCTGCTGGATCTTTTAGTCTGGTTACGTTGAGTCTTTTCCTCCGTATTTTTGGTCGGTTGATGTGTTTGTGGTTTAGTTTGAGAGTCATCAGTGATCGAATTAGTCTGTGTTCAGTCCAGCAATCGTCTGCATTGATCATGGCACGGGTGATGCGGACATCCGTGCTGTCAAGCTTCCTGACAATCACGTTAGTCCAGTAAATGCCATTGGTGTGATCGAGGGTGGCACCAGGAGGTCTTGAGGCTTATTCTTCTGCCTGAATAAGGTGGTTGGTGATTGTCAGGTCATGCTGAGAGCAGGTTGTAAGAAGAAGGTGAACATTGGAGTTGGACTTTTCAACTCCCTCTTGACCAATTACACCGCTCCACGTTTGATAGTCTCTCCCAAGCCCTAGCATTGAAGTCGCCGAACGAGACTCATGATTAGGTGCTTTTGTGACTGTAGGAATTACTGTTTGTTTTTTCGGTAAAGTCGCGTAGAAATAATAAATAATAAAATTATATAATAGCATCTTCTTTGGTTCTTTCGGTAAAGTCACCACGTAGAGTGAGAATAAAATAATAAATTGATAAAATAAAATAACACAATAATATTCTCACGACGTTTCGGCCACAACACAAGCGGCCTTCATCAGGTGAAGGGACGAGACTGTCTGGTAGGACAGCGCCTGAACGGGGCCCGTAGCTATCCGTGTTGCTAAAGTTGAGGCGCTGTCCTACCAGACAGTCTCGTCCCTTCACCTGATGAAGGCCGCTTGTGTTGTGGCCGAAACGTCGTGAGAATATTATTGTGTTATTTTATTTTATCAATTTATTACTTTATTCTCATTCTACGTGACTTTATCACACATAACCGCAGATATATACACAGACCTTAAGTAGGGGGGAATTAACACAGATATACCAGGGGATACAGAGAGACGGAACATCACACTAAATCAAACAGGGTTTAGCAAAATTTGGAAACAACACAAACGGTCGGTTAAAACACAATTAACGCATGGTTTTAGCCGACCGTTTGTGTTGCTTTATATAGTTTCCAAATTTTGCTAAACCCTGTTTGATTTCGTGTGATGTTCCGTCTCTCTGTATCCCCTGGTATATTAATCTGTGTTAATTCCCCCCTACTTAAGGTCTGTGTATATATCTGCGGTTATGTGTTTCCTCTACCTGATGATGATTGCTTGTGTTGCGATCGAAACGTCGTATGCTGTTATAGAATTTTATTTTTTTATTATTTCTACGTGACTTTACCGCAAAAAAAAACCAAAGAGAGAGAGAGAGAATCGGCTTATCAGTTGTCGGCGTACCCTGACGGATTTGGTTGAGTTCGGCTGCAGTGGGTCTCCTTGGTGTCTTCCTCGGGGTCCAGTGTGGGTGCATAGGTGCCGATGATGGTCGCGTGTTTGGTCTTTTGCGAGTTTCATAAAACGCTCATTGATGCCAATTGGGAGCTCGCTCAAGCTGCCAATGTGCACTCCTAGTCCATTGCAAACCCCGCTCCGTGCAGGCCTCGTTCATGCGCTGGTTTTACCGTTCCCAAAGGAGGCGTAGCCCCCACTGAGCTCGGCCAGTTGGCCTTCGTCCGCCCGACGAGTTTCATCGAAGGCGGCAAATTTGGATGATGAAATCGTCTCGGTTCGGGTGCCACTGGAGCTGTCCGGCGCTGCGGACGTTGGTGAGCCTTGGTTGCCTGTGAGGGTCCTGGCATTCCACGATGCAACGTTGAGGCTATATTTCTTTTTTGTTTAGACCGCAATTATGTTGACGTTCCCCTTGTACAGGATGTGGCTAGGCAGGCTACGTTTGGAGCACCTGTTTTTTTTTTTGTTTTAGCCCCCCCTTCGCATTTGTGGTGAGCAGAGTGGATCCTCGTGGGCTGCTCAGCCGCAGCTCCAGCTGCCGTTGTGCACTCCTGCCGAATCCGAGTGCATGACGACCACCCTTGTAGCCG